TGTTCACTACCTGCTGCCCACCTCTCACGGGCCGGCGGGCACTACTGTGGTGGATGTGTATTTTATTTGCCATTTCATCTGTTGGTCTATCTACCTATTCATTAATTTATCTATTTATCTTATCTATATATCCATTTTCTATCTATCTGTCTATCTGCCATCATCATCAATTATTATTATTATTATTATTATTATTATTATTATTATTATTATTATTGCCTCTGATAATTAAGCAACACAAACGCCCATACTCAAAATATTAGCATGAAAAAATATAATATTAAATATAACAAATCATCTACAGTAGTTGAGAATATTGAAGCTGAGAAACATGATATAGGTTACGGGGAAAATATAAATATATTATATACATATTTATATTATATGTATGTAAAGAAAATTCATATGTAACGTAATAAAAAGGAAAAAATATTTGGATCGAAAACCAGTCATACTTTTCTATGTTAAATCATTATTATAGAACAAAACATTAACAATTTTAGTAAAGTTTATGTTTACCTTCATAAAATATAAGAAATTCCTGAAAATAAATGTTTGAATATTGAAAACAAAAATATCGGTTTTGAATAGCTAGACTGGAAACAGAATTTATATCAATGTTATAAATACTGATGACGATAACACTATTATTACCTTTCGGTCGACTGAGCCGATGAAATAGCTGCGGCATCTCGCCTCTTGGTTTTACAGTACATTATAACAAAGGACTGTGGGTTCCAGTACTCTTTGCCACGTCAATAAAGTATATGCTGACTAATTAAGTACGAGATATATTAAAAAAACTATATAAATTGATTCTGTAGGTAAAGTTAATATAACTCACCTTAACTCTTATCACAACTAACAACAATACACCTGGGTTTGCTTGAGGTTTAGCTTAACACAACTACAAAAAATGCACTTGAGTTTGCATAAAACACGAAACATGAAATTAAGATTTGCTTTTATACCTGACCAAGATGAACAACAACAAGTGCAACACTTACACAGCAACATCATCATCAGTCAAGAGCTGACCTGAATGCTTCTTCTGATACGCGATAATTACTTCGATAAATCACTAGAAACTACAGGTGATATCTCAAGTTAGTTGTTGATTTAATACTCAACATAATCAATAAAGGTGAAGAGGAATTTTTTAAATAATGAGTGCCTGATGACCTAATAATGATACAACGTAATGCATTTGACGTATTCTTCAGGTGAACTTTTAACGATGCACGAACTGAAGTAAAAATATAAATACTGTTAGAAAAATAACAAAGAAATTATAATATAATATACTTTCCCTCCCAAAGAAAATATTCAAGAAAGGACAAGAGAATGAACTTTCCTTCCCCAAAGAAAATAATATTAAAACGCGAGTAATATAGAGATAAAGAAGGAAAGAGACTAAAGAATAAATAAAATATGATAAGAGAAGAGATCATAAAAGCTCCGGCCCAGATGACCTCAGTAAGGTAAAACCACGTAAATTATATCAGTCAGTTAACTCACAGGTAAACCAAAACACCTGTACCACAAACAATCATAAGATTACCGACACACATACACGTTAAGCCACCACTATAACCCAGAGGAGTCTTAACTAACTCACAGAAACATGAACTAACTGATAGGCACCTTAACAGAAGAGTTATAACTTACATATTGATCGCCATGTCTTCTCCCGAGCGTTAGCAAGGCACTAGTATCTTGACTCGACTACGCTGGCGACACAGTTTCAAGAACACCGCCATCTATTGTTGGTCTCTAATCTCTCGGCGTATGCAAGGCCGCGTAAAAGTAGTCTCTCACCCCGCCATGGAGCCTCTCACTGCATCTCGGAATCTTTCACTGCGTCACGGAATCTTTCACTGCGTCACGGAGCCTCTCACTTCGTCAAAGAGCCTCTCACTTCGTCAAAGAGCCTCTCACTACGTCAAAGAGCCTCTCACTGCGTTATGGAACCTCTCACTTCATCAAAGAGCCTCCCACTGCGCAAAAGAGCCTCCCACTGCGCAAAAGAGCCTCTCACTACGTCAAAGAGCCTCTCACTGCGTTATGGAACCTCTCACTTCATCAAAGAGCCTCTCACTACGTCAAAGAGCCTCTCACTGCGTTATGGAACCTCTCACTTCATCAAAGAGCCTCTCACTACGCCAAAGAAAATTTCACTGCGTTATGGAGCCTCTCACTACGTAAAAAAGCCTCTAATTGCGTTATGGAACCTCTCACTACGTCAGTCTTTCACTTCGTCAAAGAGCCTCTCACTGCGTTAAGGAGCACCTCACTGCATCACGGAGCCTTTCACTACGTAAAAGAGCCTCTCACTACGTAATGAAGCCTCTCACTACGTAATGAAGCCTCTCACTACGTCACAATTACTCAATCATAATCTCAGTCTTGCGGAGTGGTCGTGACGCACCAGTAAATACTGGTCTTGTGATCCAGCAACACTGAGGTTATCGTCCATGTTATCATACGTTCACGCCAGGGTCACATCTGAGAGTTGTGTCAATGGGAAGTAACGTGAGATTAAGGTTGAAACACTGATTGGCCTGCAGGTTTCTATACTGTGGCGATGACGAGGGTTGTGAAGGAGAAGCGTGGTGGTCCTTGTCACAGGTGGGGCGGCGTCGAGCTAGGTAGGTTGCGGGAGAAGGGGGTGGAGTGAGGCGGAGAGCGGCTCAACGTGTGTTTGCCTGATAAAGAGATTATCGGTAATCTTCAATGATGATCCTCAGGTGCCGGGCTATCTGTTGGGTGGCGGGGCAAGAGAGTCCAGTGTTATCTCGCACTTCCCTTCTCTCCCTCCATCTCTCCCTCACCCCTTCCCACTCTCCCTGTCTCTTCCCATCACTCCTCCCTGCCTCATTCCCCCCCTCTCTCCCTCCGTCACTTTATAGGGAAGGTCGAAACTCACCACATATCCTCAAGTTACCTCACCCATATCAAAATATTTAATCAATATAATTAAACTATAAAAACATACACCGCAGTAATTAGAAATCACTTATAGTTAGTTGATTTTGATACCTGATTAGACAAATGGTTGAGAGATCGTCGTCTTGGCAACACTTGATAGACAATGCACAACAAATGGTCAAGGAAACGTCTTCACCTGAGGCTGTTATCTAATATGAGTGTGTGTGAGTAATACCCGGAAGCCGCCTCAATGAATTATGACGATCTCACTTTAACCTTTCACCAATTTTGACGAAACAGAGAACATTGGGAAGACTTGCCAAGCAGACTATTGTGAAGTGAAATTTGAATATGAAAATTTCAAATGTTTGGGTGTCACCAAGGAAGAACTTTTATTTGTACGTGAAAGTTTAAAGCTGGTTAAATGACCTCTGACCCGGTAGCCTTGTCCTGTGACCAATTTTGACCTGATGCGAGAAATTACCAAAGATAACCCACAAAACACCTAATGTGAAAAAATGGCAACTTTGGTTCCATTTAGAGTTTTCTACAACTGTCTCAAATTGTTCGAAAATAAAGGAGTTGGCAAATGAACCAATGAAACACCGTTCTCTGGGCTATTCTTGGTGATATCTCGATTTTCATATTTTAGCTGTCAACATATTGACAAGATATGTTCATAACTACGGACACTATAGTGACAGCAGCCATAAGACACACCAATAAACTAACAAATTCATTTATATAGAAAACTCACCAAAGGAATAAATAAATCGTTATGTTGTAAAGTTCCGACAAGTTTTCCCGACCACCAAGACTGAAGAGACAATACGGCAAGGTACCATACACCAGTCTTACCCTTGCCATTTGTAGTCGAAATGTGACATTCGTCTTCGCAGGATCTTACCTCGGCATATAGCCTTTTTGACCACCTGAAAAAATCACTTATCTGAAATTTATCAGCCCAAGCCTTCAGACCAAGTCTTACATATCTATTTTGTATCGTTGATGAGACTCTGCCTCAGGGGAGAAATATTACGTGTGAAGTGGCCAAAATCCGCACCTCACTATTTATTTGATGATGGTTAGTGTATTTACAAATGTTGAATATGTGCTTAAGACCTTAGTTGTTAAGGGGCAGTAACACACTGGAACACACGTCACTTGTAAATCACACGAGATTGGAGAAGCCCCAGCAAAAATATGATGAACCAGATTGACAGATGAAAAAGACTGACGCCGAGGAGTTTCGGTGACGTTGAAGAGGCGACAACACCTTACTTATATTATTACTTAAATGCGTACTGTAAAGGTATCCTTCATAACACTAAGACAAGTAGTATTAACTGATCACATTCACCAGTAGCAACAAGCAGGAGTGAATTATTTATGTTAATTCACAGATCAGTTCCTGAAGTACACGTCAGCCTCCTACAGGAAATATTTATCGTTATCTAATATTTCCTCAAGAATCTCGGAAAAATCCACTGAGTCAGTCATTGACCTGCAAGACGATAACCTCTCTATGTTTATGATCAGAATCTGCCGGGATGATGGTCAGAGAGAGACCCTAGTGACTTGTTGGTGTAATTTACCGATGGTATTCAAGGCTGTTACTGGAGACGGATATACTGAAGGTGATAACGTATTAATTTGAAAGAGGAAAAGAGGCTTTACAAGATGCAATAAAATCCTGTCTTGGTACAACACATATTGGTCTGTCCAGTTGTCTCTCGAAGGTTAACAGGTTCGGTGAATTAACCACCAACTTGGGTACGCTCTTCTACCCGTCTACATTAAACTATGTGAGGTTATGTTCCTTAGTCTTCTCTATGGTCGTATCTTGAAACAAGAACGACTAGTATTTCCTATATGTGTTCTCAATACTGTGCGTAATGCTTCATGGTACAGACCTGCTGGCGCCATCCTAACAGTCTTCATCATGATTACTTCCTCGTACTGTGTTGTACGCCATTATCTTTCTCGCGCGGTTTTCATAAACGAAGTTCTGAAGATCGGATACCAATCATCCTTTGCCGGTCTTTGAACATCTTCAGTGACGTATACTCGTACTGTACGTCTTCCATACTGCTGGTGTGTTGCTCTGATGGGCATTCTCTGTCGACGAAGCAGCACCTTGTAACATTCTACCTGTATGTCCAAGTAAGTGAACTGAACACCGGACCACGCCCATCATCTGTTTCGTCTTGTTAAATTTATCTTTTGGTTTGCCTTCAGCCACAAATTTGCTGTCAAAAACTGACCCAAGTAATCGTTTTCTCGCAAATTATGTTTGTTTACCATCTTCCTTCATGTATCACGACCCATTGTTACTTTCTCTTGTCCTGTCAGTAGTCCTCACCATACACTCATCTGATTGAAGGAAGAACGATCATGTATCCGACCATTCTTGGAGCCTCTTCAGATTCTCTTAAGTGTGTTCTTGTTTGTGATCAGACTATAGGCTACGTGTCGGTACGGCTACTGATCGTCTACAAAGATATATACTTCAGGAGACACACAACTAAGTAAGTCATTAATGTATTAGTCGAGTGATATCAGACCTAACACCATAAAGACAATCTCTCTCTCTTACCGAGTTTCAACCCTTGAGCGTTGTCAAGGCCTGAGTAGAAATAAGATTATTTTTTAGGACGAGATAATGAAGAGGAAACTGCTGAATGCATACAAGATTTATTATGGGTAACAAATTGTGCACCCCCACCACCACCAATACTACTACTTTGCTGTTAGTCGGAATCGAGTATGACGATTATCCACCTATTATACACTGATATGAGTTATTAAGGATGATACCTACGTTGGTGAGTTCTGAGGTGACTAAGAGAGGCCGATGCGGGACCGACAGGGTCGTTCACAGGTGTTGCATATGTAGAGGGCTACATATAGTGCGAGAGGGGCGGCAGCAGCTACTTTCCGGCATTGGCGCTTTCCTGCCTCGGTTTGCAGTCGGGCTAACTCAAAAGTATTGACACCTTCTTGTGTGGTGCTCCTCCAAGCGTTATGGTGTGGAGTAATCGTCTCCCACGAGCCACCCAGTTACCGTGTGTTGCCACCAAGAGGCACAATAGGAATCTAATAGTGAAGAGGCTGTGTACTGGCAGGGGAGGACTTAGCAAGTTGCTTCCCTGTTTGCCACGAGGGCTAGCCAGCGGCTGTAGCTGAAAGCGAGAGATAGCAAGCAGTGCTTGAACCTTAACAGTAACATAATGCTGCCACACTAGACGCATTACACCACTCTCTGCGCGCGCGCGCACGCGCACGCACGCACACACACACACACACACACACACACACACACACACACACACACACTCTCTGCCGGGTTAAGTTATCTCAGCATCATTATCTCTACCATTGTGGTCAAGGTTGTTGCCGATAACTGGACTGTCTCCCTCACCACCTGCGTTCCTGGCCCACCTGCAGTCCTGGCCCACCTTACCCACCTTTTAGTCTTCACCCACCATCGATCCAAAATACCAACTTACCTTACCGAGTTCCATCGTCACCATCACCTTCCTTCACCTTCCCCCCATTCTCTCCCTCATCCTCTTCCTCTCTTCTCATCCTCATCAGTCCTACACCTCCTCCCTCCCCCCACCCCATCTCTTCCGCCAACAGTAACAATGCCTCGTGTTAGTTTGAGGCAACACACAGTGACTGGTGCCAGGTGGAAGATATATTGCAGTTTACCTGAGAAATAAAGAAGAGAGAAATCGGTATAAATACATTTTCTTTCATCCTCGAAGACACATTGCCAAGAAGTGATACCCAAGAGACAAGAAAATACCCGACAAAAATGAAACGATATACATATTCTCTTGTTGAAGAATAAATAGAGATCCAGACCGTGGTCCACTCTACGTGTGATGGAGGTTGAAGACAATTATCAGGGAAAGGGATCAAGGTTAAATGTGAGGATCCAAGGTACTATACAGTGCGTGTTAGGATCAAGGCTGAGTGTGAGCATTGAGACTAAGTGTGAGAATTAAGGCCGAGTGTTAGGATCAAGGGTGAGGATGAGGGTCAATGCTGAGTGTTAGGATTAAGGCTAAGTGTGAACATCAAGGCTGAGTGTGAACATCAAAGGCTGAGTGTGAACATCAAGGCTGAGTGTGAACATCAAGGCTGAGTTTAAACATCAAGGCTGAGTGTGAACATCAAGGCTGAGTGTGAACATCAAGGCTGAGTGTGAACATCAAGGCTGAGTTTAAACATCAAGGTTGAATGTGAACATCAAGGCTGAGTGTGAACATCAAGGCTGAAACATCAAGGCTGAGTGTGAACATCAAGGCTGAGTGTGAACATCAAGGCTGAGTGTGAACATCAAGGCTGAGTTTAAACATCAAGGTTGAATGTGAACATCAAGGCTGAGTGTGAACATCAAGGCTGAGTGTGAACATCAAGGCTGAGTGTGAACATCAAGGCTGAGTGTGAACATCAAGGCTGAGTGTGAACATCAAGGCTGAGTGTGAACATCAAGGCTGAGTGTGAACATCAAGGCTGAGTGTAAACATCAAGGCTGAGTGTGAACATCAAGGCTGAGTGTGAACATCAAGGCTGAGTGTGAACATCAAGGCTGAGTGTGAACATCAAGGCTGAGTGTGAACATCAAGGCTGAGTGTGAACATCAAGGTTGAGTGTAAGGGTATTTACCTTGACATAATAAACACTCACTGTGAAAGGTTGAGAAGAGGTCGAATTATATGGTTAAAGATCACGGAT